TAAAACATGTTTTTTTGTGGGGGGGTGGGGGTATAAAATTGCCTAATACCATATTTTTTGGACTATAGCGTGCACCAGATTATAAGATGCAATATCAATGAACGGGTCTGTCATTCCCCCATCTGTTACGGAAGCACGATCCGTAGTGTCAGTTCAGTTGCGCATGCGCTAAAAAGAATATTTCCGGGTCGTACGGATCGCCGTTGTTTATGAAAAAGAACTGTCTTAATTTACTTAGAAAAGTATGTGCTCTATCTCATGTTGCTAATTTACGCAACTCATATTTCCGTTAAAATCACTGACATATTTACGTCTTTGGTTAAGATGATATGCGATGCGTTAGACCTGACCCCCAGCCTGGGCTGAATGAGAAAACCCTGCAAGATACGGAATTAATTATTTCCATTCATTCAACCTTTATTTAGACAGGTAGATCCCACTGAGCCTCAAGGACTCATTTACAAGAGAGACCTGTTCTATTTAGTATAGGCTTCGCCCTTTAAGGCTATCACTAGTGGGTTTATCCCGTTACGCGCAGTGCAGCACTGAAAACTTTAGTCCACGCCCACCTGCTGTGTGGGTCTCACCCCCGGTCCGTATGAATTATGGTGAGACTGGGTAAATATTACAAATTGTTCATGTCTCTGACTTTCAGCTCCATTTTTGTTGCTTTTGAACTGGAAAAAAAAAACTTTGAGTTCATCTTCATTTGTTTATCTGTTTCTGACGCTTTTCATCTCCATTGCACATCTTGCCCTCCCTCCACTTTTCAGTCCTGCTCCGAAAAAAGGAGCAATAATTATAACTTAAACCCTGTTTTTTCCTTGCATGTGTATTATAAGTTAATAACATCATTTCCTTTGTTCAAACGTGCAACATTTGAACACAGTTAACGGTTTAATAGCTCATAATGACCCTTAAACTCATAATTTTAGGTCAGTCGTGCAGACTTGTGCAATCACGAGTTCGGTAAAATTAACAGATGTTCTGACAGAGAAACATGAAACAGAGAACCTCACATGCACATATACACCAGTCCATTTAGAACCAATTAAAGCAACTTGCATGTGTTGTACTGTGAGAGGAAACCAGAAGTAACTGGCGAAAATCCTCACGTGCACAGGTGCAGTGCACAGAAAGGCCCAGCTAAAACAAGATTCATGCTGTGAGGGAACAATACTAACACTCATGTCATTGTGCGGATTGTGGCTAGTTGGTCAAATTTGTTTACATAATAATTTAATTTATGAAAATTAATTAAAATCCAGCTTTTCAAAATGCTGCATATGATCAGTTGCATTTTTTCTAACTGTTGACTTCTTTTCACTAGAGCTGATTAAACACTTTACCCTCTCTGCAGTGAACTCGCATAACTGTTAACTAGTAAAATAATTTATTGTCAGCGTAAAAACAAACAATAATTACTTAAGAAAAGTTTCTATCAAGCAGGCTTTCATAATATCACAAATGAAAGGGTCGTGTCCGTGTGTGCATTTATTTGAATATTGGGTTAATGTTCTCTTGAAACATTAAACAAATTTTAATGACGAGTATGTACACTTTGATGTACAACTGCTTAACCTTAAGAGCTTAGGAATTTAATTATATTCAGGAGTTTATTAGACTTTTAGTACTTCAATGGTAAAACAGAATATGAAACAATCTGAATAAAGGAAAATAGACCAATGTAATGGACTGATGAAGTCCTTTGGATGAAGGACCAAATGTCTCAACCAAAAAATAAACCAAATTAACTTTTTTGGATTTTCTACCTGGATTATTGAACATGAACTTTGATGGTTTGAACCACTTTGGCTATGGCTGCCTCAGAGGAGTCGACGGGGGAGAGGGAGGACCCCAGAAACCATCTTATCACCAGCAAACTGGTTGGTCCACTATTTGACTGTGCTAATTTTGGAACTCAGTTTGTTGTGGCTCCTCGGACTGATGAAGTCCTTTGGATGAAGGACGAAATGTCTCAACAAAAAAAAGAAACCGTCCAGATGAGCTGACTGAACTTTGTTGGAGATAATGTAATGCTAAAGCAAAATAAGGTATATTATACTATATACTATATATACTATATACAGTAGTCCTTCATTTATTGCGAGTGTTAGGCACCACGTCCACCCTCGATAAGTGAAAAACTGCAAAGTAGGGATACAGTAATCCAATTTCAAATTCAGTTCAAGTTCAGTAAACTTTGTCATGACATATGGCAGGCTGTAATCACACTCACTCATCACCTGTTAGTCTCAGTCTCCCTACTTAAATAAACTGTTTAAATTTAAATACTGTAACAGTTTAAATAAACAATCCATGCAGCATGGATTGTTTATTTAAACTGTTACAGTATTTAAATTTAAACTGTGGAGAAGAGAAGTGCAGCAGGACATCAGAGGGATGTCTCACAGGTTCAGCTCTGCAGCACGGAGCAGAAATGTACTTCTTGATCAATTACTGTACACTGCAACAACTGAACATAGAAGTTCTGAAATAATTAAAAAATAACTTTTAACGCTTTTATATTTTGTGATTATGATGATTTTTACGATGCGACATACTTTGAATTTTATGTTGCCAGACAATAGTCGAGAAGGAGATCAGCTGATCAGCTGCAGGAGGGAGCTTTCTCTTGCACTTGTGGGCTTCACATATGGTGCAAAATCATTTAAAATAATTTGTTTTAAATAACCAACCCATGGCTCATCCATCAATCAGCCAATTGTGCCGTGTCCAATCTTACTTTGAAAAACCGTGATATAATATATCATTCAGCACTTGCTCTTCTCAAGGGTGGACGTCTCCTCCTCTCCCTCTCGGATTTGCTTTTGTTCTGTCCTGTCTGTGAAACTGCTTTAGAGCCTCTTTTCTACAAATCTTCTGAATCATAACTATGGACTTGGATTTGGTCAGTTGGTTCCTCAACACAATTGATAACATTTCTTTGAAGAGCAGACAGGCTTTAGGTGAGCCGATTTGCCCTGTTGGCACACACGCAGCTGGGTATCTCATCGACTTGGGAGACTTGATGATGTGTCTATCTCTGCTGTCATCTGTGGATTTTAAGGACGCATATATAATTGGATTTATGACAACTGGTTCCTGCTTTTTGGATTCGGCTGGTTCTTGGTCTATTAACAAACAAGGAAGTCGTCGGCAGCAAATCTGGACCTGGTCAGGCTGCCTGCCTTGTACGATGGCTTGGTTCGTGCCTCGAGCACCCAGACTTTTGGCAGAATGGATCAGTTCTCGGGGATTATTCTCAGGCACATTCCATTGGTATGATCATTTAATTGGGATGTTTCGGAACAGAGTTGACCAACACAGACTCAAGTTAAATGTCATTAAAGTTCTGCCTGTCTCCAAAACCATCGTGTTTATCTGAATTCGGCTCCTGACTGGCCTTGACAGGCCATCTTACTTCAACCCTCCTGGAAGTTTTGTTAACCTGATGCTCTACCCCGTCCCTCCTCTCCTACTGAGGAATTTCCATGGACTTTTCAGAGGGGCCCAGCTGAATAAACACTCTGTCATCATTTCAGGACTCTTTGGATTTGTCTTTGGTCGTCCTCGGCACACCCGACACAGTGTGCACAGATCTCTCCAGAGAGAACTTTTTGAACTGAGTGATTTTATCTGAACTCTGCAGTCCCTCTGTGTGTTGTCTCTGACTGCTCATCACCCTTGTGTCCCCCACCCCCCCTGCCCTGCATAATGTCGGCGTCATTATATGCTAGTGTGCAAGATTTTTTTTCATTATCACGCTGTTGACCTTCAATCAGAGGTTAAAAGCGTGTTAGGAATTTATTTTATCTCCAAACCCTATGTGTCATTTTTCACCACTTTTAATTGTCTGTCCAAACAGGTCTCACTTGTAAATGAATCTTCGAGGCTCAATGTGACTTGTCTGTTTAAATAAAGGTTGAATGAAAATAAAAAAGAAAATAGCGAATCCACGATAAACGAATCGTGAAGTAGCGAGGGACTACTATATGTATGTATGTATGTACAAAAATTTTAAAAAGTCAGAAAGACTATATCTTCATATTAAAATTTTTGTTGTATCTTAAATGTTTCTCAATCTAAGACACTTCATATTCAGTCAGCAGTCAGAAGCTCTCTAAATGTTCTCAGCATATCATACAGACAGAAACCACAGCTTCAGATGAGCCTGGTGCTTTTCAGATGACTGTCTCGTTCACGACCTATCCTCACCATGCCAGACTTCCTTTTATCATGACAACTTTAGATGCATCTTAAATTTATGTCAGTATACTGACTGTCAGTAACTAAGGAACCTAGATTCAACAGATTGAAGTAAATTCACAGCAGACAGAAGACACATGTCAGTCATGCCCCCCCCCAACCAATCTCTGAATGAGTATTTGTGTCTGTGCTTGTGAGCCTCTTGCCCACTCTCTCTCGCGCTGCAAGTTTTTTCTCTCCCTCTCATTTTCTGTGCCATCTCCTGCTCATTCTCTCCCCCTCTTTTATTTTTTTTTTTATCTGCCAGCTCTCTCTCACTCACTCCCTCTTCCCCCCTCACAACTACACTTCCTGACAAACACTGCCAAAGGACTAACAGGAGCAGCACATCCCCAGATTCCTTCACTTCGTCGAGGGTCTGAATGAAAGATAAACCAGAGAAGAGAGGAGGAGAAGAAAAGTTCAACCTGTAGCCAAGGTGTTTGGGGATTTTGGATGTTCTTGTTGGCTGCTTGTGGCTTCAGCAGCGATGGCCTCCTGTGGGGAATAAGAAGTTTTTGGAGACGGAAGAGAAACTTTTAAACTTTTGAGTCACCTCATAGTTTACAGAACTTCATCGCCTGGGACAAATCTGAATCTTTGAGGGTGGACTGATAAGAAAGTGGAAGAGAACTTTGCTGTAACTTGGACGGAGTGTTCAGACTGGGTGCGGTTGTGTTGCTGGCCTGTCTCAGACCAGCCCAGCTCGGCTTGGTATCACAGCAGGCGATGACATACAGACATCCCCCAAGATGCTGAGTCTGGATGGGCTGGAGATAATTGCTGTGCTGGTGGTCATGGGTCTCTTCATCAAAGTCCTGGAGCAGTTTGGGATGTTTGATCCAGTTGGCGGGGAAGGTAATAGCATTTTTTTTATATTCTAGTGTCGTATTGTACAAATACTGTAGAGTAAAAAGTAAGACTTAAGTGTTAATGGAAGCGTTGAAGAAGAACAGTACCCTGTTCTTCCACTGCTCAATGGACAACAGTCCTGTCTGAGGGCTTCTTGTAACCTGAGGGCCATGAAACACACGCTTCTTCTCAAACGCGCATACACAAATAAAGAGTAACTTTAGCTGTGTGTGTGTGGCATATCTCTGCCCCAGGGGTGTGTGCTTTTACCTTTCAATCGATAACACTATGGACAGAGTGGGTCTGAGTGCTCTGTAGAGGCGCTAGTTGCAGTGAGGGAGTGTCAGCGTTACTTTTAGTACTCACATTAGCTTATAACCTGATGTATGTAGAGGAGAAATATAGCTGTTCTGCAGATCACAGGTCAGAAAGCTTTGTGGTTTGATTGGTGCGATGAGTGTTGACCAACTTGTTTTCGCTTATAAATCATTCCATAAATATCGTACAGCTTAATGTTAGAGGCAGAGCTGCAAGTTCACAACGGTTTGTGGTAGCATGATTAATTATAGAAAACTGAATAAGAAGGGCAGCTCAGATTTAATGCATTTGACTGACGAAAGGCTCAATTACATTGAAAGACTAGCATTCCTTCAAGGAATGCACGTCGTCCGTCACTCACCCTTCATGCCGGCGTTTCAAAATAAGATCATCTTATGATGAGAAGGGGCAAAGGTATAGCCATTTTAGTCCAACCCTTTAAATAAAACTGTGCAATGTCATGATCATGATATCAGATCTTCACAGGGCGGCTGTGGCTGAGTGGCTGAGCAGTCGTCCTCCAATGCAAGAGTTGGCGGTTCGAATCCACCAGCAGTCATATGTCGAAGTGTCCCTGGGCAAGACACTGAACCCCTCATTGCCTCTGATGTGTGTCCCATCATTGTATGAATGTGATAAAGCTCTGATTAGTCTCTTTAGAATAATTTGTTCTATTAGCTTTGTAGATATCTAGCAGAGTGTATGAATGTGTACATGAGGGCACTGATTGTTGTGTAAAGAGCTTTGAGTATCTTGATTAAATAGAAAGGCACTATATAAGTACAGCCCATTTACCATTTACAATCCATTTACACTTGAAGTGTACAGAATGACTCTGTACTACCACATCAAGTTTTATCTTAACTTCTGTAAAACTAAGTCATTTAGGAGATGGGTAAGGTCAGTAACTGCAGTGCCTATCTTGAATTGAGTTTATTCCAAAGGTTAATCAGTTGTAGATTCTACATTTACTGAGTATTTTCTCAAACTTTTGTTAATATCTATCTGGCGGTGCATGTTTTTTTTAAATATATATCAAACAGGCAGAGTTAACATTATTTGCAAAGTTTTAAAAATAGATCTCATGCAAGTTAGTCTTCAAAGTATGTGTTGGGGATGACTCTCAACTACTGACACACCAAATATGAGTCCAACATTATTAAAAATTAGCTGTTTTTTTTTTTATGTTGGTAAGTTTGTGTGACTGAGGCGGCCATCTTGAATTTATTTCCAAAAATCATTGACATGTAATTTTACAACCTCTGATTACTTTCTAAGAGTTTAACAAAAATCCATTCACAGCTTCATAGCATATTTTACTTAAGATAATCAGTTAAATAAAGTCAAAGTTTCTTTATTTGTCATTCGAACCACATGTGGTACAAAACTGAACAAAATTGTGTACACAGGGTCCCAGTTACATCCAACAAAAGTATAAATTGTAAAGAAAAACTGTAATAAGATCTAAGATATGAACTAAGAAATGTGCTAAACTAAGAATACATAATAAGGCCAGGAATTTGAACCATTTTCTGAATGATGCAGGTAAGTTTTATTATAGAGCTGACAGGAAAGTGTCTTGCTCTTCTCTGGCACACCTGCAGCAGTTGTCACTGTGCATCAAGGTCTTTAATTGTCTGTTTTATTAGTTTAACCTAAGTCTGAACTAAGCACTGCTCACACTAAACTTACTGAATGAACAGAGACAAAAAGGGACATGTTAGGTTATTTCTGGATCAAATCTTCAATTTTCCAGTTTTCTGTTAACTCCAGGCACCAAAGGTACTCCTACAAGATCTTGAATTATCTTTGTTGATAATTATTAACGCGGACGCCTTCTACCTCAAAAGAAGTGAGCCACTGTACGAGAGACAAGCTTACTTTGATAAATACAGAGATTTTTTTTTTTTAATTCTAGAGTGGATCATTTTGGACTCTATGCTACAAGAGACACTTTTCATCTCTGATGCATCTGCTGGACTGCACCCAGCAGTCAAGGTGGGCCAGTAGCTCAGTCATCTAAAAGTTCTTCTTGGAAACCCATCATTGAGACCATTGCACTCTATGAACACGTGCACGCCGACACAAACAAAACACTCACAGGCACAAACATTAAAGGCTCGATTTAAAGTATATTTTCATTTTTAGTGAGCATCGTTCTTCAGGATAATTTGGCTATACTTTATGGGAATAGCAGCCTTAATGAGAGTAGGTGGGTGTGTGCCAACTCTTCTGTGAGTACTTAAGCTAATGAATTTTTTTAATGGAGGATCTCAGTCCAGATGGCAGGATGAGTGTAGGACTAGCTGCCGAAAGGGTTCAGAGCCATTCTTTAAATGAGCGAGTAATATCCACTTGATGTACCAACATGATCGACTTCCAAAGTATGTTTATGTTTATGTGGAAGGCAACTAATGCCCTGCGTGTTCAGTACGACTGGTCAGTTTGTTTCGATGTGTTCACACGAGTAAAAGAGACAAAAAAAAAAAAAAAAAATATAAATTTGACTTTTTTTTTTTTTTTTTTTTTGCGCTGACTCATCTTCTTGTTAGTCAGACAGCAAAGTGAGGGCGAACAAAAGACCCTCTGGGCTCATTTATTTAATGAGTAGTGCTGCTGACCCTGCAATAAATAAACACATTAAATGCCATATTGGGGAGAAAAAAATGAAAAAAACTGGACATGCCTTATTGAGCACGTATCAGAAGCACTTTGGCCTGGAAGTTTACGAGGTAGTTTACTGATGGATTTAAGGCTAATGGCTAACGACAGGAGTGTGCTCTTTGCGTTTATGAGATGGATATTGAACGAGATTTGTTGAACTGAACTGAGCGGCTGAGAAAATAATTTCCTAGAACGCAGCACTTTGCTCCACCTTGAACCTTGTACAGCCTAGTGAATGTAGTTTATTTCAGCTATGGCCTACCGTTCCTTGTAGGAATACATATCACCATTCACCTTTCATTATTTTTAGAAGATCTGCTTGTTATATCCATTTTTGATCAAATCTTAAAAATTAATCTTCGCTCAACCTGCTGTGATATATGTCAAAATTCAAAATTAGTGTTGTGAATGTCAAGGATTCAAGGTTCTTTATATGACAAATAAAGAACCTTGAATCCTTGAATGACTCTTGGATATGACCATGCCAAATTATAGGTCAGTATCTGCAAAATTGACTGTTATAGGCACTTTTGTGTTTTTAAGGTCAGGTGGGGCAGCCATATTTCATTTTATTTCATTTATTGTTTATTTATACAGAAACACAAGTATTAACAAATACTATTCACCTTAATATTTTTGTTGCTCAGGTTAATTTGCAACGCAAGTTCCCACATGGGCCTTTAGCACAATCGAAGTAAAAATGTAAAATGGAGTTTTTTGTTGGAGAAATTCTCTCGTTCTCTAACTTTGTTTCCTCAAAAGAACCACTGTCACGGCAGTAGAAGATTTTTTTTAACCATTATTTATTCATCCAAGGTTAGATTTCAGGACAATTTACATAAACATACATATGTATACGCATGAAAACCAGTCACAGAAAAAAGCCACAAGTCACGTTATCTGCTCGTTCTTTACTCCTCTCAGCTCAGCCGAGTTCACAGAGTTCAGTGAGTGACCTTGAAGGCAGCTTCAGCCTTCTTACACTCTCCGTCTACTCAAACATATGGTTCATGGGCAGAGATAAGTGTGTCTTGTGAGATGGCTTTGGCTTATTTGGGGTTTCTTGTTCTCAGGGCAGAGGGGAAGAATGTTAATAATAAAAACATCCATTTTAATCTGCATGTTCTGTCTAAATCTAAATAACACATCAGTTTGACACTATTCCCAGACAGATAATAAAACAACACATTCATACATCTCAGGATCCTTTTTCTTTTTTTCCTCTTCGAGGAGTGGTCAGCGCCATCCACGTATGAATGAGATAGCAACTCATAGTTCTGGTGGTCATCTTATCCTTGATAACAACCTCTGGCTCTAAATGTGGAGATAAACACCAAAAGAACAAGATGCATTAATCAAGGGAGGTCTATGTCCCTGCTTCCACACTGGGCAATGTTCTCCCTCTGCTATGTTAACCAACTAAGCACCCCACATCTTGGTACCTTTACTGGAGTTCCCCTATCTTCTCTTTGACAGTACCTGACTGTAGATGTATTTAAACACAATATTGCAAAATTCCTCAAACTTCTTTTTTGATAGTCCCCAACTATTCAGTGAGATGTCCTTAACACAATATTGTCAGTGGCGTGCGGTGAGGTTTGTGACGGGTGAGGCACTGACTCGTCTGGAATCGGAGGCTCACATACATGAACCCAAAATAGAAGCTTCAATTTAACGATTTTTTCTTTTAAAAAGGCATCTAATTAAGCTTTAATCAACTCCATACTGTTCAACAATGATGGCAAAAAAAACCAAATATTTAATGTAAGGTTAAACTACTTTTTTGCAGGGGTGGATCCTCTTTAGTTTAAATACATTTTAAAAACATGTATACCTTTATTTTAAGATGAAGTCCATGCACCTATCCTTCTCCATGAATATCTCCGTGACTCTGTTGTAAAACTTGTCGTGGTTTGCCTTAATTTAACAAAAAAAAGAGTGGGTTACCTTTATCCCACTTGTTTGAAGCAGATCTTTCAGCTCTGGAGCTGGTCTTTCCTCTCTTACACCTTGTGTTTCGACTG